GAATTTTCTCGTTAATAACTACTAGTATCATTAATATCGATATTTGTGTTATTAATTTAACACGTAACGTATTACTTAGGTAATTAATTTTTTAATTTAAACATTATAATGTGATATTATATACTTGGAATAGTATTTAAATTATTTTAAAAATGTTAAAAATAAAGTAGATTTCACTTTTTTCTCCAAAAATTTTCTCTCATTTTCTCTCACCTTCCTTTTTCCCAAACACAAAATGATGGTATACATTCTTTCACAAGTTCAGATTAATTGCATAAAGAACACATTTCTTTATGTTTATTCGAAAAATTATTTTTTACATGTTTTTACTTTTCTTTTAAATTATTTTTTACATGTTTTTACTTTTCTTTTTCTTGCTTTGATCTTAAACTACGGACCAAAATGTACGTTGTATTTGTTAAAAAAAAAATTAAATTAAATTAAATTAAAATAGACATACGTGTAAAATGTCTTTACTTGGATAAATTTATTTTATTATTTCTTATGTTTAAAAAAATAGAAATTAAAAATAGGGATAAAACGAAACTAATTTTATTTTTTAAGATATTCAATATGTCAAAAATTACGAACAAAAATAAAGAATCAATGTTCAATTAATAACACTAACAATAAAAAACTAGTTTAATGTAAAATCAAAATAATCACTGCATTGAATAATATAAAGATTAAATATGCATTTTAATATAAAATTAAATATTCAGATTAAATTCAAAAAAAGCCAAAACTTAAAATAAATCAGACCAGTTAAGAACGGATTAGTATGTATAATTACTCTTTTTTTTTTTTAATAATTAACGTAAATAATTACCTACCAATCACATAATACACAGTGACTGGTAGGCCAATCATAGCGTAAATAGTTATATTTTTATATAAAAGAAAAAGATAATTTTTACATCTCTACAAATAAATAAAACCCACATTTTATTATATAGATAATTTTATATATGTAATTACTGTATGATAATTCTTATTACATAAATTAAAGGTCAAATCAAA